TAAATAAATAAATATCAGGTGCCGGGAGGCGTCCCACTCATAATACCATACCTCTCCGAGTCCTTTGCGAAGGATGTTAACCGAGTGGTGAAGAGGTCTGGGATGCCGATCCGCCTGATATTCCGACCACCATCAACGCTGCGCCGTCTGCTCACATCCTCTCGACTATATGAAGATCTGTGTGGCCGTGCAAACTGCTGTTACTGCCAAGAAGAACGGAAAATATGCCTTTTGAAGAACACCGTCTATGAAGTAGAGTGCGCGTCATGCTCGGAATTTTACATAGGAGAAAGTGGACGCCCTCTTTACAAAAGATCCGGAGAACCCTTCCTCGCGACACCGCTCTTTACGGCACACCCACGAGAGCACGCCCCAGATAAAGGTCCGCGTCCTTCACAAGAACGTTTGTGACCCGGTGGAAAGGAAGATAAAAGAGGCATTGGAAATACGACGAAGGCGCCCTCCAATCAACAACAGGGAGGAACTGCGAGCAAGTGTGGAGATCATCACTGCACTATAGGATGTGACTGAATGACCATTACGTGACATATGGTGACTTGGAGGATATCAGACGACATCACTCTTACCCTCCCCACCACCGATCTAGCTGCTTCATTTCTGCAAGAGTGGACAGCTAGATAGGTGAGTCCTCGCCATATGCCTTCCCCTTCCCCCTCCCGCGTCCATCCAATAGTACTTGCAGTGATTCACGTGGCTCCCGGGAAGAACCCGTTCCCTGGACCAAAACCACTTGCTTTGCTATTCGGTTAGTCGCATATTTCGTATCGCCAATAGTTTCTTGTTCAATTTAGCTAGAAGTGATGCCTAAGTGTGATCGGTAGATATTATATTGTATATATTGTAGGCCTGAAGAAGGGCTTAAGGCCCGAAACGTTGCTAAATAAATATCTTGAAGAGTTTCATTCAACAAGAAAACACAGAAGATATTAAACCATGAAACTCAGGAATCCTATGATACTATCAGACCTGAGCTTTTTGTAGAACCACTCGATCAAAATGTCGCAGGACTTTCCTTCCAACCTAGTACTTGGGTTTGTGTATTGGATTGTTCTTAAGATGCCCAAGGGTCTTTCTATTGGTCCCTCCGGACCTGCTCTTTTCATGCCAGCAAAACGATATCCCACCACCTCTAGCTGAGTACTCGTTTTTCGGCTTCATTCAATAGTAATACCACCTGACAACGGGGAAAACGGAAAAGTTCTTAAAGGCAAAGCCCGCGACCACAGATTGTGGGTAACGGAACCCACATAGGAACGAAAAAGGGCTAGGTATCTGATTAGCGGAGAAAAGCAGCAGAAAAACAGCCGAAAATGCCCTAAATAGGATTCCATATCGACCCCAACTTGTACATGCATGCAATGAAGAAAACGCATGTTTGTACGAATTTCCACTCGTCGTTATCATAAAGATATCAGCTCTTTTATCTTATCACCTCACTCTCACCATTCGGAATGGAGAGAGATAGTATAGTGGCTACTAGCTAGTAGCTAGCAGCCGGTTGGGGTCGGCATGGGCCTAAGGGGCGCCAATGGGCCTAATTGGTTAGCTTAAAGCGGAATTCTTGCCGATTTTCACTTTCTAAAGGTAGCGCAGCCTCCGCAATCTCCTTCCGGATCGTCTGACACATTTGAAAGGTCATAGCCTTATTTTATCGCGGAAAGTGCCTTTAAAACTAAACTTGTGACAGAGAAAAGCCGAGTTGACTTACTGTAGACGGAACAACCAAGAAGACTCAGAGGTGCCACCTATGAGGGCCGCACAGCCTTCGTCACTCATGTGGAGCTGCAAAAGTTGGATAATCTCAGAGATTCAGTGCCAAATTACTTGGGCAAGGAAGGACGCCTACGAGTCGCTCGAGCGTGGGGACTGTCTTCAAAACGGGCAGGCGTGCATACTTCGGGAATCGGGCTGGTAAGTCGCAGAATCGGAAGCGGAGGTGGTGTAGTGACAAGTGGCGCGCTTACCACTCGCGCGGTCCCGGGTTCGAATCCCAGGTCGACACCCGCCCAGGCCAACCAAGCCTTCTACCCTCCGGGGACGGTAAATTGGTACCAGATTCGTCTGGGAGGATAAAACACTGACTTGTACATCGGCTGGCCACCGCAAGTCATTGTATAGGCCACATCGCATTCAATAAGCCACTACGATTCTGAATGGAAGTAGAATGCGTGCCGCATCCCACAAAGGGATTGATCAACGGCGAAGACTTTATCCTTTATCCTTTAAGTCGCAGAATTGTGATCGCTGCGACAGCAATTGATATTGTCCTACGTTCGAACGAAAAAAAACCCATCAAGGATTCCTTACCTTTGTCGAAGACGGTACGGTCAAACAGCAGAGATAGGCGTTTCCTCTGCGAGCTTCCCGATGTCCTCCCAGCGTCAGAACAGCCGAGAAAAAGAATATTTGGTAGATGTAGTCGTAGATGACTGCCACAGAAATGAAAACGCAGAATGTCTGTAATGGATTGTGTACTCCAGTAAGCTTAGAACCAGAACACAAAGTTTTCTGTTTGCGATTGCGACATTCAGCGCTGAAGCTAGCACTTGTTTTGACAAAAAGGGCAGCACCGCTGAAGCAATAGGCAATAGTCGTGCCTAAACTATATTATCAGAAAAGCCATAGTGGCACAAACATAGTTGCTGAGGGACCACTTGACCGCGCCTCTGTCTCGTACCCTAGAAAAGTTTGGGCTCAGAGCGAGACGACCAGAGTCTCCAAGGGATAGTCCTGCAGAGAAGATGTAGTCTAATGAACCCTAAGCCTTGATTACAGAGTTTTGCTGCAGGGGAAGGTACAGAAACGAGAAGACAATCATCACGAAATTTTTTTATTGATGCAAGTTAGCAACCCTCCTCCTCTAACGGTACTTCCTATGGGAACTAGCGCAGTGGTGATAATCGTTGAATGATCGCGCTTTCATCATCTGAAAAATTTCATGACTTCAGATTATATTATGAACTGACATAGATGGCAGGAGTAGAAGTGAAGATACCGATGCCAAAAGAAAGCAAATTGGTGAGTGAAGTTATCGAGATCGAAGGACCAGCATCTGCTAGAGTTTCTGCGATCCGTTCACGTACCGAAAGACTAAACAAATTGAGTTTCCGAGAAAGATGTGAATGTGCTAAGCTTCAATGATGAAATACTCATGTAGTCATGCCTCCAAACACATCTTAGTACTCAACATACTTGTCGTTGGTCAAATGAAAGCAGTGGATGAAGATGAACACATCGTCGACACCAATAGCAAGAATAAGAAACGGCACCACTGTGACAATCGGAAGGAATTCGAATCCCATCTTCAATTGTTTATGAAGCAAGTTTAAGATTTGAGACTCAAAAATGTTCACCCAAAAATCAAAAATGTTCACCCAAAAAAGATGACCGAATGAGGCGACAAGAGATAAAATAGGGCAGATTACACCTAGGAACGATTCGAGTGGATTGCTCTTGACTGGATCCCTGCGAAGAGTTGTCGTCATTGTGAATACCAACAATATTATGAATGTCACTCCCAGGTACGGTATAGCAAGTATACCTAAACAGACACTGCATAGACTTCTACTCTAAATTCGGTAAAGGGATCTGTTTCAAAGGAGCATACCTGTTCTTCGGACCTCTTCAGAGACGAGGCCTTCACTAGTGCAGAAAACATGGATAAGTGGATCTTTCAGCGTTGACTGAGAATAATGAAAGACTGCCTTAATAAACTTATGTGTGGCTAATGAGAATCGTATCTCGTCATAGTCTGAAGGCTTATTTCAATCGAACGGGGTTAAATCTTATTAAAGGCCATACCTGTTCCCATTTGCGCATAATTGCAACGGAGCTGTCATTGTTGTAAATGGCATGAAAATTGATGGCAACTAGGCGAGATTCCTCGACGATCTGAGACCTGCAGTGTAATTAAGTTCGCTTCCTGTCCAAGATCCACTTTCTCCTAACCTTGGCATACTTTCTACGATTAGGCACCCTGGAGAGTCCGAAATTTCAGAACTATTCGACTAATATTTTTGTTCCGGTTAGAGCATGGAAAAACCAGAAAACAAGCGAACCTGCTTCCCTGAAGGCCTCGGATATACATAAAGCAGCACTCTCATATTGCCCCCTGCTGAAGCTCTTCACATGTTTGTTTTCAGTTTGAGGCCCTATCCTGCTCTTTGAAGGCGTTAGATCCCGCCGTTATGACTACGCGCTATGTTGAACTGGTTAGAAATAAAGGGATAGTTCTCGCCTCGATCGTTTTTTTTTGACAGAACAGGTCACGCATTCCACATCCGTTCCGAATAGCGCGGCTCCTTCAGTGCTGCATGGTCTATGCAATGAAATGTAGAGAGAACAATTCGGTGTTTTCATCCCCACAGGCAAATCCGTTCTAGTCTGCCGTCTCGGAGTTTAACACGTTGGCGACATTGCGTCCCACTGCTGGGACGCACCTTTTTTGCCGCGTGGGACATTGCGTCCCACTGCTGGGATGCGGCATGGGTAAAAAACCAATTTGAATACGTTTCAAATTTTCAACAGCCACATATTGTCCAGGAAGGCATTGTAGAATATACAGTAGGTGTAAACCATGTAGTTGTGTCACTGGAAGTATTTTACCGAGGAGACAAACGAAAGTGATTTCCTTAGGAAAAAAAAAATAATTTTTGGATATATAGAACTGAAGCTCCACATGCAGATAGCTAATGTGATAAGGTAACTTTCAACAATAGCAGATCTGAATCGAATCCAATTTACCACCTCTGGCGCGAAATATTCCTTTTTGCGACCTTGTTCCCACGCTCCACGTGAATGAGGCGGGAGTATTCCATGAAATTTAGGGTTTATCTTGAAAGTAAATAAAAACAGAAGCCTTACCAGCTTCTGCATTTTCTAGCTCTTTTTACTTTCAAAGACGTTTGATTAAACAATAAGATGTGCCCGGTTCGGGCCCGCGCGACACAAGATTATAAGTTCAGGTTGTCAGGCGGCGTACCGTACCCCCGAAATTTGCGCGTCCAGTGAAAAACATTGATGTCGGGTGCGACCA